CAGCTCTGGTCAGGCTGCAGCTGGAGTACTGCGTCCAGTTCTGGGCTCCGCACTTCAGGAGGGATGTGGACAACATGGAGGGGGTCCAGAGGAGGGCCACTCGCATGATCAGGGGGCAGCAGGGCAGGCCCTACGAGGAGAGGCTTTGGGACCTGAACCTGTTCAGCCTCCACAAGAGAAGGCTGAGGGGGGATCTAGTGGCCTGTTACAAACTAGTCAGAGGGGACCAGCAGGCATTGGAGGAGTCCCTGTTTCCCCGAGCACTACCAAGAGTGACTAGAAATAACGGTCACAAGCTGGCAGAGGTTAAATTCAGATTAGACATCAGGAGGCGCTACTTCACTGTCAGGGTGGCTAGGATCTAGAACTTCCAAGCAAAATGGTGCTGGCTCCTAATCTGGGGGTCTTTAAAACAAGGCTAGACAATCACCTTGCTGGGGTCATTTGACCCCAGTACTCTTTCCTGCCATGGCAGGGGGTCGGACTTGATCTGCTCGGGTCCCTTCCAACCCTACTATGAAACTGTGAATTAGTGGAACCACTGAAGGCCATAAAAAAGGAGAGAGGGTTGTTGTTAGCACTTGTAGAATTAACATTTTAGAAGGAATCAGGTAGATTATCATAAGCCATGAAATCAAGTAACTCGTTCACTGATGCCTGAATAGAAATACTACTCCTACTGTCAGGTAGTTGGTTTTAAAGTTTGGTTGGACCAGGAATCAAAGGTGGGGTGGTGGTGGTGGTGCAACTGTACCACTGCAACCCCCCTCTCCCCTCCCTCCCTGCCCCAAATATGCCCCTGGGTATAGACAAACACACATTGAGCAAGAAAGAAGGAAAGGACCACACATTAGGTCTTCTACACGAATTGGCTCTATGCTTATTTATGCCTCATGGTAAATGGAAGCTAAACCATGGTAAATTGCTCACAGGAAAAGAAGGCTGGACTACTAGTTTTCATTTGCCATGGAGAAAGTGTGAACTTGAGCAGCTACCACAAAGCAGCTGACGCACAGTAGAGCTCCACTCCCTCAACTCTCTCTGATTTGTTCTGTTTGCTTCCTAAGACATTCTACTTTAAATCACACCTGTGTTAACATTGCTATAGGCTGCTAGATTGTTTTCCCAGCCTGGATTATGCCTGCTCATCACCTTCAGGGCTATCCACTCAGTGCTACCTCAGCACCCAAGTAATGGAGAGGAGACTCTGTTGTAGTAGACATCATGTTTTGTATCCCTACAATGCTGTAGAAACATTCACCAATCAAACATTTGTAAACCAGACTGGTCACTAAGTAAAATATTTATTAAAAAGCAAAAAGAAGTTATTCCAGGAATGAAGATGAGTCATTGTCATAAGCTCATGCCTGTAATTTGCTTTTCTTTTTCCAAGTGTAGGAACCAATGGACTTCTCCCCAGGCTGCCCCCGGGTTTGTAGACCCCTCAGGCCCATAGCAAAGGTAACCAACCGGCTCTTTCCCAGTACACCTCCGTCCTATGTACTCCATTCTGTTTCATCTTCTCCTTACCAGATACTGCCAATGGCAGCACATTCTACTGGGGCACTTTATGGTTGTAAATAAATCTCCTCTGGGGACTAGGTTTTAAATTAAGGTATAGACAACCCAGTTATCCCTCAGCCTGGACATTGTTAGCCAGCTAGTTCCTTATGAATGTCTTAATAGGACCTTGTGGGGAACTTCAATTGGGAGCTGAGTGCAGAGAGGGCAGTGCCTTCCCATATCAGCTGAGGAAGTGGGTATCAAGGCATACAGCTGGTTGTGAGATCAGTGGATTAGCATGTTGAGGTTAACACGCAACAAACACCACAGGTAGATTCTGGCCCCAGAGATGAAGTTTTTGTAGTGTGGAGTTGTCATAGCAAGTGGATCTCAGTTGAACAAAATCTTTGCTTCTGTGCCACTTCTCATATACTACATTCTCTTTGTAAACAGAAGTGCAACGTGGAGGAAGCTGCATCCCCAAACTTAGAACAAAAGGATGGTGTAGCAGGGCACTCTGGTACACCTGCCACTTAAAGGGGAGAAGCTGCCTTAGCAGCTTCCAGGTGACATGGGGGCTGATTTGGAGGCTCACCTGACCAAAAGAGGACCGGGCTGGGGCAAGATAAGATCAGTGCTTGGGCTGGTGAGGTAGTCTAGCCCTGAGAGCCTGAGGAGTGAGTTCTCTGCAGCAGAGAAGAAGGGCCCCTGAAAGACCAAGGTAGGCAGGGGAAACAGAGCAACCCTGCAGGCTGGAAACAAAAGACTATTACCCCAGGCAAAGAAGAAAGGTTGTTATTGCAGGGAAGTGGCCTTTGTTTTATGTTGATACCAATGTTTGAGGTGCAAGCCTGAGCCTGATGGGGGCTATAGGACCCTGCAGGGGCACAGGCAGGCTGAGAGGGCCTACGTAGCATAAGGGGTGGATTGAGACTAGTGGGATCTGTGACTAACTATTGACCAGTGGTCCCCAACCTTTGGTGGCCCATGGACAACAACAGTTAGCAAGTGATGCACTGCAGATAAAACCATGCCTTGTTCTCTCAGTTAACTTCTCTTTTAAGGTATTTCTTCCTTGTGGTTGTGGGTAATGTTGGAGGATTTGGAGGCAACACATTATTTGCAAACCATGGCTTAGAGACCACTGTCACAGACAGAGCTAAGCCCTATGTGATGCAGAGCATTTTCAGCTCCCACAGCTGCTGATACAAGTGGTAGGGCTCACTACCTCCCAGGTTTTAGCCTATAGGGATTTGGCCAGAGATTTTTAAAAGCCTTTCCCCTCTTTGCAGTTAAGGGTCCAGTGCTCCTATGCACTCTGAACTATCCCTTAATAATTACAAGAAGCTCAGGCTACTGGTTATTTCCATACACATGAAAGCTATTTTTTGTCTCTTGCAGGTGACTCATGATGGTACCTGACCCCCACAGAAGTTGGCCAGCATTTCACTGGAGTAAATGTTCTTTAGGATTCTTTCTTTAAAATCTGGCAGATGGGCAACCTGATGTAGAAATAGCTACATCCCACTGGTGAAAGAAAAAGAAACTATGGAAATGCAAAAATAATCTATGGAAATGCAAAAAACTTAACATGTACCTTTGGTCAGCTCACAGTGTCCACTGTCTAATCTCACAGTGTTCATCTGTCTAATCCGTCTCCTCAGCCTATCACGCCTACCACTGAGCAGCTACAAATAGTCACCACTTTTGGAAGAAAATTTCAAAATGTTTTCTTCTGCTCCCCACTACATGGAATTTCCACCCATCCCCTCACTCAAATTCTGTAAGCCTAAATTATCGAGACAGTTCTGGGTCACCAACAGAATTAAAAATCCAGAAACTCCTAATCCACCATGATTAGAATCAGGTGAATTGTTGTCTAAAAGGGTGCCATATCTTTCTTTCAAAGTTCAATTGAGGGAAATGCCCATTAGAATACAGAGAGTGGCCCTGCCTGTTAGGGAAAGGACACTGCAAATACAGCACAGAATTAAAAAGGAGACCTAATACACCCTGTTCTTTGTATCTTAAGTATCCTCAAGTTAAAGCACCCTCCTTTCAGGTTTCCCTGCTTTACACTCAGCACTCCAGCAGAGGGTAGACAGACACCAAAGTAGCAGCAGTCTTGTAACTTTTAACATAATGGCAAGCAGATGAAATGCTTTAAGAAGCAGCCCTTTTAGTGAAGGAGAGGCTTTCACCTGCTTCTGCTCCCACTATCTCCCATTCTCATGTTGACAAAGGGAGTAGAGCTGGGGAAAAGGGACTGGCATTCCCTATTATTCTTCCTTAATGTAAGAACACAGGATTTTCATAATATCCAGTTACAGATAGTGAATAGGTTTTTTTCAGTCCACATTTTATTGTGGGCCTTCCATTTCCTTAGCAAAACTGCATACACCTACACACCTTGTGTCCTTTTATTCTTCTTCTGAATCAGCGGTTCTCAACTTTTTTGGATTCAAAGCACCCCTCACCGGACTTGAGGCACCACTTTGTAAACTTTTGTCAACTGCCTGGCACCCAATATTCCAATATTATAAAAGCCTAAGGCTGGCTGGCTGGCTGGCTGTAATGATTTATTTGCATTCTGATTGCCTGACAAACAGCCAATCAGAGCGTGAAGAAGCATTCTGACAGAAGGCAGCCCACCGCCATGACGGTGGGGACACAGGAGATGGAGTGCGGGGATGAGGCCCCTGCCCCAGTCCCTGGAGGTGGTGGCAACAGAGTGGATAGAAGAGGGGGCGAGGCCAGGGGAAGTGGGCCCGGACCCCAAGCAGCAGGAGGGAAGGGGGAGCAGGCCCAGGGCTCCGTCTCCACCCGCATTCGTGATGGGCAATGGGCTAGTATATAAATATATATCAAATAAGTTTTTGACATTGGGTGCCACACAGTTCACAAAAGTTTACAAAGTGGTGCCTCAAGTCCGGTGGGGGGTGCCTTGAATCCAAAGAAGTTGAGAACCGCTGATTTAGAAGAAAAATACAATATAAATATAGAATAGAAAATAGAAAATATATATAGTGCTTACCTTCTTAAATGGGGGCTGGGGGATTGTCCAGGCAGGTACAAGCCTAAACTGGGTTTATCAGCTTAGTTTATCTCCTCACACTTTGTAGCACCCTTCAAAGGATTTGGCAACACCCCAGCATGCCCCAGGATCTTAGTTGCAAATCACTTTTCTAAGCTATAGACTTGCTGCAGTCTCCCCTTCAAAGTCACTTCCTTGCAGTTCAAATTATCTGCCTCAAGAGGGCTGTGAGCCTCAATTCCTCATAACTAGGCTATATAATTAGTGCCACCCTGTGTTTCTTCTGTGACAATATTATGGAAATAACATAAATCAAGCAAGCTTTCATGTGCATTACATTATTTCACAAACTTTTCTTCATATATTCCTCATATAATTCAGGGTCAAGTTCTTGTAATTTTTTTTTCTGGAGTATTCAGGAAGATACTCTATTACGCTTTGTACCTGTCCAAACTTAAGTGTTCTTCAATCAGATTTTGGAAGTTCCTTCCTCCCTTTCTTTTCCATTAATCTGAGATGCCAAGTTGTATTCCAAGTCCCTCCTGTCCCTATTTTTTCATTGTGTTCTCAGATACTCTTGAAGAATGTGTTTCTTAAGTTATACCATTTTCATTTGTCAATTTGTGTTCACTGCAAAAAAAACAAATACTTCCTTTAAAACACCTTCCCATTTGTTTTTCTTGACTTGTCTTATCTTTCATTTATGTTGGAGCAATCTGGAAGGGCCGGGTTTGAGGTTATCTCATTTAGCATTCCAACATCATTCTTGCTACAATGTTTGAGTATGCCACTGAAATCAAAATTGAATATCAAGGCATAGTTGGCAAAGTATGGATAGAAATCCTTCTGGCTTGAGACAAAGGGATATGCTCTACAAGATGACAATTTAAGTAACTGGATTTATCCAGAGTGGTTCTGAAGAGATAGTGGAGGTAAATTGCCCCTGATTTGGAAGCATATTCAGTTCAGCATCCCTAGAACTACATTAAAGGATTAAGCAGCTAAATTTGGTGTTGTTAAAGAGATCTACATAACTTGGGAAGAAAAAGGATTCTAAATTGTATTAGGGACCATATTTTCCCATGTATTTTAGGTACAAAATAAGTTAGTTAAGTGCACAATTGTCAGTTTGTTGTAAAATTCAGCTTTTTTTTTATTTTGAAAAAGCAATTCCAGGTAGGCAAGTAGATAGAAATCAAGTTGCAGCTCTAGAGAAATCCCTCATTTACCTAGGCATCAGCACAGTGGCTTTCCAGTTACAAGCATCTCTTCCTTTCCACCATCTTTACAATTTCCATTAAAATTCCTAACACTACAATCATAGCAAAATTAGTTTGTTATTATCTGTTCAAGCAAAGGAAGAAGAATGAGCAGACCCATCAGTTTTCCCACATGAAACAGCAGTTTGCATATTCTGAATGTTATGGAAGCACTGGAAAAGATTTTCTTATATTATATACCCATTTTGATCCCCAGTTTCTGGATCCCGGGTTTTTTGTATATACATTGCTGGTATGTATAAACAACTATGCACTCCCAGCACTGCTCCTTTCCTAGCACTACCTCACTCTTCTTGTGGATGGTACCACACTCAGCTGAATGAAATGGACTACCAGCTATTTCAAGTATGCTCAGATACCTCCTTTTCTAACCAGATGCAAACAGATGGCTATCATACACAAAGGACTCCAGATGACCAATCAGTTCTGTTCTACATACCACACAGCCTAGTTTGACAAACTGTATTTCATTCTGTCTGAGAAACTGAGGAACCACCTTATCAGTGTTTTATACAGCAAACAGGAACAGATCAACCTCAGGCTTGCAGAACTAACAAATAACATACAGAACCACTCTAACATAACAGCCATTTACCAAGAGGAGATCTCTGCATTCAGCCAAACGAATCTTATCACAAACACTTTCACTCCCTCACAGAAGATGAAAGAAGCAAGTGCTACATAAATAAGACTATATAATTAACATGGTGACAGAGTGGGGTAAACTACCTGGGACATAAGTTTATCACTCTATTCACATATTTCTCTAGATATGTGTTTTCCAAATCACTTCTGTCTTCAGGACTGAGGACAGCCTATATCCCAGCCCAGAAAGAGCTAATACTACACCCATAAGTCTGTTTAGGGCACAGTTTAATTCCTTAAATACTGAGTCACATAAACAACAGTATTCCTCTAACGAGATCAGACTGTTAGAGCCCAGAGGCCTCCCTCTTGCATCTCTTTTCTTTACTCCAAGATCAACCACCCTTATTTTCCATGAAGTCTTCCTTCACCTGAGCTATCTCAAACCTTAGAACTCATCTGACTCCCTGCCCAGGTGGACCTGAAAATTAAGCCATGCTAGTTTATCTCAGGCCCTCTGGACCAAAAAGTGGCAGACAATCCAGCTATAGTAATGTTCTACAAAAGACAAGTGGCATCATGCATACAGTATTTTTTCAGATTTGATGGAACAAAATCATAAGGTAGAAATTGCCTCAGCGCTCCAAGCTTATGCATCACTGGTATAAAATGAAGTTGTAAACATGTCAAGCATCATTGCAGCAGGTTATACATACATTTGGTGAACCACCATCCTTGTGGAAAGAGCTGCTGAAGAGACCAGAATTGCTCTGGAATAAAGTGCTCATCCTGTTGCTTAGGGTGATCCAACTACAGCCAATACTGGCACTATAGTTATCCAGATTACACTGAATGAACTGCTAATTTAGAAGATGTCCCTGGGATTCTTTTCAGTGTACCTCCCTGAAGGCTGCACACTGCCCTGGCTGCTGGAGGACAATGTTTCCCAATAGTAGAATATGCTGTTGTGATAGTCAGATAGGTGACCGCCCCCCGCCCCCCAATAGAACCACTGACTTTCCCCAAAAGAGCAGAATTATCTTACACTGTTTTAAAGCAGATACAGATGAAGGAAATGAATCAATCAGTAACTGAAAAATCAAGCACCACATGCATATAGACAACACAACAGACCTCAGCTTTGATGAAACTGTCATAATTGTACTGACCTGGGCACATCCTGGGAACTGCAATTGGTTCCTGGTTTCCCACTGGCTCTGGAGGAAGTGATTTGGACCCATGTGCCAGCTGTTCTGCCCCTTTTCTGCAAAGGCTGTTCCATTTTGCCCTGCTATGAGCAATACTGGAAGCCAGAGGGGAGGGGCTTGCAGGTTCTGTACTGACCCAAAAGTAACCTAAGAATGGCAGACACTTTACTACGTCCCAGAGACTTAACAGAAACACTGACCTTATGACTGCAGCTTTGAACAGCAATGAAATTCTTCATTGCCACAGAGAGAAACAAATATGGCTTGTGTGTATCCAAGTAACAAGAATCCTTTATCTCCTCTTCCCTTGGTGCCTGAGCCAACACATCCTGCAGTCAGTGGGACCCCTTCTGACTTCAGCAATTTCATAGTTTCATAGTTTCATAGATT